GCGCTTGCCGAGACACTTTTTCGCGGCATTGACCATTGAGATGGCCTCGGTTAACAGGCTATTTGCATCCAAACAGCACTGTTGACATAGCTATATGCATCCATTCTTACTGAACCGCTTAAAAGCTGCAGGCGTTAGATTCGTGCAAACTTCGTGGTACCATCCTTTGCACTCGTCACACTGCTTGCCACTGTGAAGGGGATATCGACAGTCTGAACGCTGGCAAATGCTTTTGTTGCACCTTCCAGTCATTTGAGGGGAAAAGAAAGAACTTTGAACAAAAATAGAAAAAGTAAATAGTTAAGACCAAAGTGCTAACGGATATAATAGAAAAAACAAGGTACTCTAGAGTACCGACGATAAACTATTTTAGAGACCAAAAATGATACTCTGAACGAATATTTTAACTGAAAGAAATTCAATCAAAGCATAAACAGTAGCCTTGATACGTTATTAACGATCAAAATAGAATTTACTCAACGAGGAAAAATACCACTGTCCTTTTTCAATACACCACGAAGTGTTGGGTTCCACGGAGCACTAGAACAAATGGTAGATCTCCAGACAATCTTGGGAAGATTCGAGAGAGAGAAAAACAAAAGGACGGCGGTCTAAAACAACCAACTTGGGTGGAGTTATGTTCTCTGAGCCAAACATTAACAAAGGAAGTCAATGTATTGGCCCGATATACAAAAAACAAATGTGTGATGAAGAGCATTGGAGCTGGCAAGCAGAAATATATAGAAAACTTCAGCAGGGTAAGGTACAACATCAGGTAGTATGAAAAGACCATATGACATAACCAAGAAGCTCACAGGGGAGAGTAAACCAGAACAATCAACCAACAATGAAAGACAGAAAAACCAATCACCGAACGTCAAGAGAAATGAAACAGGTGGGTATAACACCTCGAATAGCTCTTAAATAGACCAGATTCATTGAACTCCCAGATACAGAAGCCGCACACACGACAAAAATTATAAAAATCGCTCGCGAGGGTGGTTAACATAGGCTTATTATGCAATTAGTTTTTGTTATTACTGACATTTTTCATATATTCTAATTATTTGAACAATTACCAAGATTGGCTGTAAAACTTTTGTTTAAAAGAAGCGCGACCTCGGATCTTTCTTTCCATTATTGAGCAACCCCATAAAATGTCACATTGAAAATCTTTCACAAATACACTACTGAATATAATGTCATTCTAGCTCTTGACAGACCTATCAATTCATTCTTCTCCAGCCACATTTTACCTTGCCACCTATTGGCTTACTAATCCCGACTGTTTCGATGTGATTGAGGATACCACGGATATTCTAGTTTTACAACTAGCAACTAGTAGTATCTTCTATAATCGATCGTTCCCAGTCAAATAGAAACCAGAAGTCAGACGAGGAGAGGTAGGAAAGATATATTTGATACGTTACCAATATATCGAGAGACTTCGTTCTTAACTTGCTATTGTAACGTAGGAGGTGTGTCCCACGCCGTGTTGCAACGTGATCTGGTACGGATGCATGACCGAAAGCCTTCAGTTAAACAAGTCCACTTAAACAACGTGGTCAGCATCTAATGTCGAACACTTAATGAGCTATTGATTTTGGGGAATTATTTACAGCTACAGATCACTCCCCCCCACTAGTGAGGTAGTGATGCCCCTAAGACGTGACCAGCCAGAAGTTTAAACCCAACGAGTTTGTCGTTGGCAAACACTCTTCTGATAGCTTGCTTAGTTTAGCAGCATCTGGCCGACTTTCCTTAAACTATGGGACCAAAATGTACAACATAGCAATAAAGAAATATAGTACAATGAAAATTTCGGTTCCTTGCGAAACTTCGTCGTTCTTTTCCAGCCGTCCTGGAAAAGAGGAAAAATAAAACGTGTAAGTGCATGTCGGAAATACACTCGTACTTGCGTAAGGACACAAGATGAGCGGAAAAAGAAATAAACTAATACACTTACCAACAGCGTAAAAGCGATCGGAAATAAAGGTTTTTTGGGTTTTTTTTATAAAAAATGTATATATATATATATACACGCTCCAAAAAAATAAATATGTTTTGTTTTTTTTATAAATAAACAAAATGAGCATATTAAAATTTTTTTAATAAACTATGAAAGGGTAATTCAAGATAAAGCTTATGTCCTACGTGCAATATGTTCTGGAAATCTTACTCGTCTTCCAGAACGCGTTGTTTTAGGTTTATCTATCGACGTTGACGAAGTATCAAGTTGTGTGTCGGTTGTCGTGTAGGGTACTAGGAGTGTAGGAGCCGTGTAGTGCTATTGTACCGAAGGAAATTCGACGTAGCTAGGGTTTCCCTTTAAGTACGCTTCTTTGAATCGATCGATACTGATGCTATCGTTCGTACCGTTCGTATCGACTACATAGTACTTGGATTCGCGTTGAAGAACTTTGAAGGGTCCTTCGTATGCTGATTCGAGAGGTCGTCGATGTGAGTCTCGACAAACGAAGACGTGTGTACTATGTCGTAATTCGGGTTGAACGAAATCATCAGTTGATAGAGGTCGAGTGTGAGCAGGTTTAACTGAACGCATAGCATTTGTAAGCCTACTCGTGTAAGAGTTTAGATCCATGTTCAATGAAGAAGCTGAAGGATCCACGAATTCTCCTGGGAGTCGGAGTGTCGTTCCGTAAACGAGTTGAGATGCCGTGTATCCAATGTCAGCTTTCACTGCATTGCGGATACCTAGCAAGACGAGTGGAAGAGCGTCTGCCCACTGTGAAACGTTTGTAGCTGATAATGAAGCTTTTAGTTGTCGATGAAAACGTTCTACCAACCCGTTTGCTTGTGGGTGGTAGGCGATCGTTCGGAAGCGCGTGGTTCTTAATAGTGTGGTCAGACAGTCCAAATTCGAACTGGCGTCTGCGGTCTGTAGTGATGGTCGAAGGGCAGCCGAAATTTGCTACCCATCGTTCGACGAAAGCGCGGGCCGCGGTTTCAGCAGTAATGTCCTTAATCGGTACTGCTTCTGGCCATCGAGTGAAACAGTCTACGCATGTTAGGAGATATGAGTGAACATCTACCAGCATGGTTTGGAAAGGTCCAAATAAAAACAATACGCAGTTCTATCTTGGCACATCTAATTGATAGTTGTCATATTGTCGATAAATTGAAATCATTTCAAGTGATCTATCGTATACCTCCATCGTTTCCCAACGGAGTTCTCTCCCGTTTACTTCATATAGCAGAAGCCATAGGAATTCGTACATTCCATCCCAATTTATGTGTACAGAAGAAATTCGTAACCCCGCTTTCCCTTCCATGGCCGGACATAACTTAATAAATGACATTATTATTTATAAAATTTTATTTTTATTATCTTAATTTGGTTATCATTTTTGTAATTTTCTACCTCTTTCCGTTTGTAATCTTCACTATCTATTTACTTACATACTTCTTATTACGTAATGATTTTAATGTTTTGTGATTGCTATTCCAGACTATTCACCCGCGTTTGACCTCTTAATTCTCAATGTTTAATTATTGATAAGACTTTTGTTATCGTAATTTACTATTCTTACTACTATCAGTACACCTGTCTTCCCACTATCAACTTGTACTTTTAACTACTATTATGCATGGTAACGTATTCTATTTCATTGTGATTATTATTGACTCAAATAGCCTTGATTGGTCTAACATTTTCATATAAATATTCATGCATATTAAAGTAAAGCCTGATGACGATCTAATTGAAAACAATTGTTCGATTACATATGTTGTTCTAATTTTCACAATGGGAATCTTTAATATGAGTATCCGTTTGAGTCGGGTAAGGGTCCTACCAAATCTAGATGAACGTGATCGAAACGAGCGTCAGGGGTTTTGAAAGAGCCTAAGGGACATTTGTTGTGTCTTATGACCTTAGATTTCTGACAGCTTACACAGGAGCGTGCCCACTCCCTCACGTCTTTATTCATGCCAGGCCAACAAAAGCGTTCGGCTATAAGTTTGACGGTTGCACGAGCACCTGGATGAGAAAGATTGTGCAACGTATTGAAGACGTTGCTGCGATAATGTTTTGGTACAATTGGACGATCCTTACCTGTAGATGTGTCACAGAGTAAGGTTTCCTTACCTGTTCCCATCTGCTTAATACTTAGTTTTAGAGTTGTCGAGGATAACTCATGCTGAAGATCAATGTTTTCTTTTTGAAGCTGAGCGAGTTTAAGAAGGTCGATTCCCTGGAAACTGTTCAAGGAACTTATTCGAGACAAGGCGTCTGCGACTACATTGTTAGATTCAGAAATGTGTTGTATGTCTGAAGTAAACTGCGAAATGTAGTCGAGTTGTCGAGACTCTCTTGGTGAGTACTTGTCTAAAGATGAACTTAAGGAGAAGGTAATAGGTTTGTGATCGGTAAAAAGCGTGAATTCTCTTCCTTCGATGGAATGTTGAAAATGCCGTACAGCACAATGCATAGCTAGGAGTTCCCTACCGAAAGTGCTGTACCTAGATTCCGAGTCTAACAACCGCCTGGAGAAAAATCATAAAGGTTGCCAAAAGTTGTTAACCCATTGTTGTAACACTCCTCCGATTGCTGAGTCAGATGCGTCTACTGCGATACTAATGGACGCTTGAGTGTCCTGATGAGCAAGCAAGGTTGCTTTAGCGATGTGTTCCTTAACTGTGGAAAATGCTTTACGGGCTATGTCGTCTAAACTAATTGATTTCGCATTTCCACGAAGCTGATCGGTTAACGGTTTCATTAGGGATGCGCATTTGGGTATGAACCGTCTATAGAAACTTACAAGTCCGTTAAAAGTTCGTAACTGCTTGATCGTGGTCGGTTCTGGGTAATCCAGAATGGCCGCCACTTTGCTCCTAATTGGTCGGATGCCTTGGGCATCAATAGTGTGTCCTAAGAAGACTTGCTATTAGACAGTCATCAACATACTCATGTACGAAGTTGAGACCTCGAAATACGTCATCTATAAACCTTTTGAATGTTTGAGCCGCGTTTCTTAAACCAAAAGGCATTCGCAAGAATTCGTAAAGACCGAAAGGAGTGATGATGTCGGTTTAAAAACGTCGTCAGGTGCCATCGGTATTTGGTTATAGGCCTTAACCAAGTCGATTTCTGAAAAGACAGTTGTACCTTTCAAGGTAGCTGTCAAATTGTGAATATGAGGCAATGGGTAACGATCGGGAATGGTATTGGCATTCAGACGCCGATAATCACCAGTTGGTCGCCAATCATTGCTGTCCTTTTTAAGGACCATGTGCAATGGGAATGACCATGGACTATTCGATGGTCGAATTATACCTAAGTCTACCATATGGTCGAATTCGTTTTTGGCTAACCTAAGTTTTTCGGGAGCGAGTCGACAGGCTTTGGAGAATACAGGTGGTCCTGTAGTCGAGATGTGATGTGTAACATTTCTGGTTACACAAGGCAATTTCGATTGCGATTGGTATATCCCGGGGTTTTTGTCGAGTACTGATTGGTACGAAGGGTCTATGGTGTGCTTAATCGTGACTGGGGATTACCTGCAACCAGAACAAGGAGTTACGCAAACAGATAGTTTAGTGTTTCCATCTATTAACCTTCTTGAGCGTGTGTCGATTAGTAGATTGTGATATTGTAACAGGTCCATACCAATGATTGGCATAGAGACATCTGCAACAACGAAAATCCAGTGTATGGGTTTGCGTAAACCCACGTTAAGGTAGACGTACCTTTTACCGTAAGTAGCGATCGGCTTTCCGTTTGCCGCCTGTAAACTTAAGACAGACTCGCGAAGTCTGTCGTCGGGATTTGCTGGAAGCAAGCTAACTTTTGCGCCAGTGTCGACGAGGTAGCGAACTTTCGTAGTCACATCCATGACATATAAGAGGCGGCTGTATTCGCCGGCTACGGTTGACGTTAACACGTGCCGGCTGGGAAGTCTCTCGAAATCTTATTCGTGTCAGTCGATTTTGAAGTCGGATAATTGCAGGGTTTCCTGCAATTTCTGGAAAACTTACCGTACTGGTTGTGATACCAGCACCAGTCGGGATTGTCTGTCTCTCGTGGTCGAGAGCCAGATCTCTTAAGTGAAACTCTCCTACGTGAGGATTTTGATCGACTACGGTCATTATGAACTCTTAGATATCTTGTAAGCGTGTGACATAGTTCGGCCATGTCAGTCGAGGTCGATTCAGGTTTTCTTTTGATGGAAAAAACCACGACCTTAGAAAATTTGGTGATTTCCAAGATTCGATCGGCAGATGCAGCTAGTTCATCTATGGCATTGTTTTGAAATGAAACAAGCACTGCCTGCACCTGTTGAGGGAGTTTAGACAAGAAAAGTTATCTAAATAGGCCATCATCGAAAGTTCGTTGGCCGATGACTTCTCTCATTCTAAGCAACATGTCCGTCGCAGAGCCCTGTTGCAAGTCGATGTTACGAAAGAGTTGGTCTAACCGTTGTCGATTAGTTAAGTCTCCTCGTTTTAAAATCGATAGCTTAAGCGTTTCGTAAGGTTCGGTAACATCAATAGTAAACATACTAGGTGTTACGTACCTGTTAAACTTTCGCGGTAACGCCTTAACTACCGCGAGGAATCGTGTGCGCAAGTCCGTGATTCCGTGCATGCAAAAATCAGCCTCTGCGTTGCAGAACCAGGACTCGATATTGTCGGGCCCAAATGGCGTTAACTGAATCGAAATAGGGGGAGTATACTTTAACTTAAAAATTTTTGGTGACTGTTCCGTCATAGTAATATAGATAACGAGAAATATCTAATTAAAATATATCCGGGAAAAAAAATTCGCGAAAAAAACACTATATCACAATATATAAAATTCAAATAAAGAATAGCAATGAATATTAATATTCCAAAATGAAACAGACTCACAGTATATTGGCTTGGTGTACCAGATCACGTCGGTCTCACCACTGAGGATACCACGGATATTCTAGTTTTACAACTAGCAACTAGTAGTATCTTCTATAATCGATCGTTCCCAGTCAAATAGAAACCAGAAGTCAGACGAGGAGAGGTAGGAAAGATATATTTGATACGTTACCAATATATCGAGAGACTTCGTTCTTAACTTGCTATTGTAACGTAGGAGGTGTGTCCCACGCCGTGTTGCAACGTGATCTGGTACGGATGCATGACCGAAAGCCTTCAGTTAAACAAGTCCACTTAAACAACGTGGTCAGCATCTAATGTCGAACACTTAATGAGCTATTGATTTTGGGGAATTATTTACAGCTACATGATCAAATGGTTCAAGTGGTTGTGGACGGAATAGAAGAAGCTTTCGCTTAACGGGTTTCCGTGTCTAGTAGCAGTGGATCACCAATACCTCCAGGAAAGAACCTAGATATATAAACGATAATAGAAAAGAAAAAGAATTTAGTAAATCACAAAACATGTTATCCCTAGTCATTATGAATAAGTCAAGTAACCTCCCAAAGGACCCCTGGGAGGTGGTAATATTTTTTCACGTGGTTTAGAAATTCTTAGACTTGTTCTTTTGTAGGCTGTATTGTCCTTAGATTATCATCCTATCGCATTTATCGCTCACACTTTACTGTAGGTTAATAAATTGTAACCGAAACTTGCCCAGTTAATAGAGATTTCACTGATCAGTACTTCGCTATATTATAACTGAGCACTTTTTATCTGTAATACGTCATATACTAATAGTCCCTGATCCTAGTATTAACCCGGTTAATACGTAGAATTAATTATATTCTCATATATATCTGTTATACAGGTTTTTAATTCATACAGCTTCAAAATATGTCAAGTAACTTGGGTAAAAGAAAGATTTCACCAGCTTTCAAGCCTACTAAAAGGTCAAAGTCCGTAACTCCTAAGACTGAAGACTCAGTACCTGAAAATGATAAGCATTTATCCTTTGAACCCCATTCTACCTACCCACAAGTGTCACTAACACTACCTGATTCTCTAAGTAACAACCCCTCTATTTCTTCGTGCAGTGTGCCAACGGTAAGACTAGTTGACATAAAAAGCGAAATGCCCACGTGCATCAAAAAGTCAACACAGTCCACCAGACCGCATGCTTTGCTTAGGCCTAGGTCCAATATACCAAAAACCAAGGAGTCTAACAGTGTATCTCACGTATACGAGAATGCTGACATTCGTCAGTTACAAAACTCCCTAGCCGAAATTTACAGTAGACTTAACCAACTAGCACCCCTCACACACAAAGGAGGGAGGGTGGAGTTACTGACCAGCAAGCACTGATGGTGTGGGCGATGATTTCAATCCACCCGTGTTTGTGGGGCAGAACATTTTGTTTGTATCAGGCTCTTTATGGATGAGAACAAGTCAATAGATCTGTGATATTGAGATTGTTCACCTACACTAACCATTAAGACTCATGTTTCCAATTTTTGTGCTGGATTAACCATTCTACTAAGACAACCTTTAACATGCTAACTCGGACTTTTACATGAACACTGTGTGGCAGGCATCGGATGAGAAAAGAAAGAAAAAAAACTGACTGTAAAGGATATGGTTGCTATTTTATTCAACACTCTACTCTCTATATGCACTCTCTGTTCTTCCTCATTTCAACCTTGACTTCCCTCCTTCATTGGAACCTACTCCACCTTGATAAATATAACAACTCATTGTTCTTTATTACTGCCTTCTCTCTTCTGGAGACCCTAATCGCAGTTTACTCTTGCAACATGAGCTAGTATCAATTTATTCTAATAATTTATCATACCTCCATCTGTTCCACTAATAAATGTTAAGCATTGATTATCGCTCATATCCAGATGCCTTGCTGCTCCTCGGTTTCTCTTTTATTTTTTCTCTTCAGAATCTTGCTCTGAGGGTGAAGCTATGTAACTTCTGACATCTGGAAAAAGCTTGACGAACGCGCTTTCCCAAGGTCATAGCTCAAACCAGGCGCTCCACAAGCCTACTTTATAACAACTATAAACTTAAAAAGCTGCATTACATAAATACTTAGAACTACCGAAACCCTAATACACTTTTTGTCGAGATTGGATCTGGTATATAACGTGGACGCTATGCCCCTTTGGAAACTATTCTTATGAAAACACATTATATCTGAACGAATGAACTGCTATCAACTTTTATAGATTATAATTACTAAACAAGCTTGCTTGGGATGCATACTGTGAACCAGTATATGTTGTAAATTGTAGATCATGCCTGTAAAAATGGCGTGTACCTGCTAATGCAGAAATATATTATTATTATTATATGGGGTATTAATACCGATAAAAATCTCGAACAACTCACAAAAGCTGAGTGTATTTTAGATTTTGTGGCTGAAGAAGTGACGAAAAGAATGATGTCTTCCCACAATGCAGTAGTTTACAATCTCCCTGATCGCATACATCCAAATAAGTTGAGGGATATCTGCCTTAAAGCATGCGATATGCTGAAGGTCAACTGCCAAGTCATCCGCCTTAGAAAAAAGTCGGATAGATTGACTTGCCCTCTACTATTTAAGTTTGGCTGTTGTAACGATGCTAAACAGTTTATCGATTTGAGCAAAAATATCAGCTCATTAGTTCCATACAAAAGCATTAAAGTCACTCCTGACCTAACACCGTGTCAACGTCGTATAAGAAGACGTGAAGCAATAGAATCGCATGACAGAGTGATAGTAAAAACCCAGCAAAAGACAGTATGCAACAAAATGATTGATATAAAGCGCATGAATAACAAGCATGATGTTATATCACAAACGACTAGTCCGTCCGTAGATCTAGATGAGTCTGCAGATCAGAAATCTTTTAATAAGGTACGATCCCCATCTGTCACTAAAAGGCGTGACGGCATCTCTGATCCCGGGTGTTCGCTCAGTATAATACCAAAATGTGCGCCATGTAACGAAACACATCCAACTAAACATATTCATGTAAAAATTGGTTCCCCAAGAGATACTCCACAAGAGGATTAGAATGAACCTAAGTTCATCTCACAGAGACAAAGAAACTCTTCATCTCTGACAAAAAAGACTGGGGAGATAAAATCCAAAATAGGGGGACACGTAAGATTGAGGCCAACTGTTCTGTGGATATCCCAACAACAGTGAATAGGTTCTATCCGCTGATATCATGTAACTTTCCATCAACACCTCGCACAATGGGTAGTACGCTTGAGCGTAACAAACCTTTTTACACGCACACTCACAAAAACTATCAGAATACTGATCACTCCACTCACCTTCTTAAGCCTAAAACCGTTAATAAACATGGTAATTACAGGTTCCTCACCCCACACCCTATGTACATTCCCCAGAATCACAATTGTAATTACTCTCAGAATCAGAACT